TGCCATCGGTTCGCGGGAAACTCTTACAATTTTTTCCCCCCATCCCCCCTCTTGGCCGCGGTTCGTTAACTTTTTATCACGGTGCAGAGGGGGGGAGAGAGACAAAAAAAGAAAAAAAGAAAAAGGAAAGCAATGCACGGAATTATATCGATCGCTCGATCCAAGCTATTCGTCGCGCTTTAAACCGGACTTTTCATTAGGTTTCGAAATCGTCGCTAGTTTATTACTTATTACTATATATATATATGTGTGTGTGTATACATATGTACGTGTATGTGTACGTGTCACGTATATACATGTGTATACGTGATAGGAAAAATTGGATCGGATTCGAGGTGGGATTCCTGGTTTGTTGGAAGGAAGAGAAGGAAAGGAAAGGAAAAAAAGGAAAAAAAAAAAAAAAGGTGACGAGAGAAAAGAGTGGAAAATTAGCGGAGCGGAGGTTAAGTTTTGGAGGAACCGGAGCGCGTGTCACTGCGAAACGAGCATAATATCGGGCTGCGTTATCGTTGGATGCACTTTGGGCTCGCAATTCGGTGCCCCACTCAACGGTACAAAGAGTTCGTTTACCCCGTTTAGACGTGTGAGCGAGGCCAGCTGCTATCGGTCGATTCATGCGCGACATTCGACGAGAACCGACCGAGACGGCGAGAAACCGGCGGTGAGGAAGAGAGAGGGAAGGCCGGGAGAGCGACGAGATAAAGCTGAATTTAAGGCGCGATCGGGGACCCTCTCGAGAACAAACAGAACTGCGACGTCTAGACGATCGTCGCAGATATACAGGGTGTTAATAAATATCGGGGGACATTTTTCCCGGATCGATTCCACGCGTCAAAACAATGGGACACGGTGTCGAGGGCTGTCTAACGAACCTCGCTCACCATTTCGATCGTTGTACACTACACCTCGACGTGTAGCACAACCAACTCTCGCCGCTGCTCTCGCCGATCAAACCTCTTCGCGCTCGGCAAAAATCTCGATCGCGAACAGGCTCGAATTAACGAAGAATCGTTAACGAAGATCGAGGAATACGATATATTCGTATGATTACGTTTAGAAGAACCTTTTTCTTTTTAATATAGAGTGATATATTCTCCGAAATATACATATCAAATTCGAAACTTTGATCAACCTCGGCTTCCAAGCGAATCTCGACGATCGAGCTTAATTGGAAAGAAAAGATTTCTACGATTTGTGGTTTCTTTTTCTTTTTTCCTTCAAGAAATTTCATTACCGAATGCATCGCCTTCGAGGAAAACGTTATCTCGCGGTGACCGATTTGCTCGATTTTCTCCCTGCGACCGCGTACAATTTCGTAACTCGCCCTCTCCCCGCCTCGGCTGCCGGAAGAGCGGACATTTCTTTTCTTCCTTCTCCTTTCCTTTTCGACGTTTGAAATTTTATCGACCGATAAGATCCGTCGAGCGAAGAGGGGAAGTCTCCCCCGGATATTTGACGACGATTTATTTTCGGATCGAACGCGAAAGCGGTTCCCTCCCCCGGCCCTCTTTACTCACTATAAAGTAACGGAGAGGAAGAGCCGCGTGGGAGGCGATTCCGCCGGTGTACGCGCGAGGAAACCAGTTTCAGACGGTTACGCGCGTCCGAGGCGGAAAAAGGAGGAGGAGAAAGAAGAAAAAAAAAGAAAAGAAAAGAAAAGAAGGAAACGTGATCTGGAAATCCAGCCGATCGATCTTATCGGGACCCGTTGGGGGAGAGATCCATCGGGTCGTGATCGATCGGGCCCGAGTTCGTTTTCCACCACGGTGGAAAACCATGTAGGTAGGTGTGTAGCTCGCGAGGAGGCGCAACGCAGCGTTCCACGGCCACGGATATTTCCCCTGTATACGAACGTGTCGAACGTGTAACGAGATCCCGAGGCAAATAAAAGTGGAGGATGGCAGGGCTACCGCAACGTTGGATTCGAGTCACGCGAGCCGATCGTTCTATCTGTGCCGAACGAGAAGACGATACGCTCCCGATTTCGAGCTGTGAACGCGCACATACGCACATATATATGTATATATAAGATAGCAATGGTTAATATATATATGATTTGTNGTTGAGATAAATTTGGGATAAGGCAGGGTTCTCGAGCGCGGTGGAGTTGGCCGCCAGCTTCACCGCAGTGGACACGGCGGTGACATTGTGCGGACACGGTGAAGTACGCAGGGTCGAATGACGTTATCACCGCCGAAATAGCGTATCGATAAGGTCGACGCGTGGCCGATGACGCGCGCGCGTCTGTTCTCGATAGAATTCCATTAATCCGGCTTACGACGATCGTTCGGTATGCGTCGATGCGCCGGCGGGGGCGTCTTTATTCCCCGTGTAATTAATTCGGTCCCCCTTCCCCCCTCCCCCCGACCAAAATAACGACGCAATCTTATCGAGCGGCGGACACGTGAGCACTTGCGAGCTGCCTGTCAGATAACGAGCCCGTATTTTGGTAGACGTATATTTTGTACATTGATAAACTGCGTGCCTCTCCTCTCTCTCTCTATATATATATGTCTGTGTGTGTGTGTGTGAGTGTGTGTCTATATCTCTTTTAGATCAAAAAAAAAAAAAACGCGCACGATAATTCCCGGCTTTTTTCCCTTTTTTTTTTTTTTAACCCTGTTTTTCGCACCTGTTATCTCCGGCGATCGATATTGGAGATTTCGTTCGACAATCGGAATATATATATATATATATAGATAGTTTTTCAATAGAAAGGATTATCGATATAAAAGTGAAAAACTTTTTAACTGATTCTGAGAGTAATCTTTAATCGGTATAATCTTGGATCGATATCGT